TAAATTTTACCATATTCTGGTACTTTTGACCATGCTTTTCTTCCCTGTGTATAAACTACAAAAGAAGTTACTCGTTTAAACAATTTAAAAATTTAATCTTAAAAAGTTTAATTTAACATAAAAAATAAGTTATGATAAAAAGGATATTTTTAAACCTATCTAGCATACTGTCAAAATATTAACTTTTTGTCTCCTCATTCAAATGAAGCTAAAATTGTACAAATCACTAAAAGGAAAAATAAAATAAAAAAGAGACGAAAGAAAATATTTTTATTGCAATTTAGATAGTGTCTGAATTTCAGTATATTTTACCCGATCAGCTCGTCATTTGAACCATCGGAAAACAATACTAAGGTCTAAATGTTTGTTATTATATATATGTGTATATTTTTATTTCATGTTATGACTTTTAGAATTCTAACAACAGGAAAGCGTACATTTCAGTATTGTAGTCTTAATTTTAACTCACAATAATCTCACAAACAAAAACCAACTATGAATTGCTATAATTATTTTTAAAAAAATTATATATTCGAAGAAAAAAAATCGATAATAATAAACAACTTCCAGATATTTTTAAGCAGAAACCCTAAAGTCACAGGTGACTTTTCTAAAATTGACTTTTTCTTCTATTCTGAAAACCTGATATCAGAAAACTTATTGTTCATTGTAGAGAACTGTAACTTCATAAAATGACTACAAATGATTTAAAAGTAACTAGGAGGCTCCGCCCCCTGCTCGCTAACGCTCGCCAACCCCCGAGAATTGCTACGCAATCCTATGTGGTTCACGCCGTGAACCATGGCTCGCTGCGCTCGCTCGCCAATGAACACAATGTTCTAGCACAAAGACATAATATATTATCATCAAAGACATAGTATTTTATCATCAAAGACATAGTATTGTACTTATGTAGAAGAATTCTACCAATGTTCTTATTGGCTTTTAAAAAAGTATATTAGCTATTTAGATTGTACATGGTGAAAAAATCAAAACATTAGCTAAATAAGAAACATATTAGCAAAATAAATTATCAAATATTGCTTCACTAATATTCTGCATTTTAAAGCGTGAAAATTCAATGCATAAATAAACGCGAAATATAAAAAAATTCAATGCATTCAATACAAACACTTAAACGTTTTTTAGACGTTTAGGTAGCTCCCAGTAGAAAAATATCAATTCAACAGCGGCCTTTTAAAGCATTCTCACTTCAATTCCTAATTGAGTTTAAATGAAATATTGTCATGTTTTCAGTGCATGAATCTGAATTGAACAACCTGATAATGCTCACTCTGGTTATTGTTATCTGGTTGCTCATTACATGCTCTTGCGCGCCGAATCCAATCAATTAAAAATGAAAACTGTTGCCAGCGCGAGAAAAGAAATATCATCGGTTTTATTGATACATACATACATACGTACGTATTAGCGTTTTATATAATATAGATATGCATGGGGTTGCCCACACATATTGCATTTTTAGCCCGTGAAATATCAATTCTCATTTAACAATTATAAAATCAGATTGTTATTGTAAAAGGAGAAATGTCTGTTTCATCGGTTGACATATAGTGAACCACTTACAAATAGTATTTCAAATACTTTAAAAGAGCATTAGCTCTTATTGAAATTAAATGAAATCCACTACTAAGTTCCTCACTTTTATTTTTCCTCTGACTTGGTGTCGCAATTACACTTAGTATAATGTTACATTTATTCCTTTTTATTTAAATCTTTTCATCTTATTAATTTAATTTTTTTATTTATCTACCTTTAATTTCATAACTGTTTTAGTCCATTCAATGTGAAATTTTCAAGTGATTTTTCTTAATTGCGGTAATTTTCTTAATTTTAATGTAAATATAATGTTTAATATTTCTTGTCTTCAATTTGTTTCAATTTTCTTTTGGAAAGGAATTTCAACCTTTTGTGTGCCCTTCTTCGCTTTCTGCGGTCCATGCTTGATTCTAAATTTCTTGTTGAAGAGACAAGTGTCACTCTCAAACGTAACGGTACGTCACTGAAAATATTTTATGACTTTGTTTTTCTCAAAATCGCAGACATTCATTTTTTTTTTTTCTTCGTGTTTCTGGGGAGCTTACTTAACCAATTTCAATCATCAGTTTTTTTTTTGTTTTTTTTTTCTTCAAATTTTCTACTTCGTAACTTTTAATTGGTTATCGTTTATCTGTAGGTTTGTCCTAAAATTTAGCAGTCAACAATTTTTTAATTTTTTCAACACTGAAACACTCTGAAAGGTCCCAATTCCTTTCTTCGAGATTTGGACTTAGGTCTGTATCGAGGGAATTAATTTTTTTTTCTACATCTTTTTTCTTCTGTTTAATTACTCATACAAATTTTTAAACCTTTATATTCTTGATAGTTAGCTAATGATAAAAATCAATCATATCTTCATAATGCTTCTCACTTCCTTTTCAGTAACTCATATATTCCTTATATCTGCCTCTTTATACCTTTGATTGTTTCTTTTATACTAAGATACTTTCATTTTATACTTTCCTAAGTGCTAGTTAGGACAAATAAATGTTCCTTTTGTATTGTTAACAATATTTTTTAAAATCCATTAATTGCGCTCTGTGCAACAATGTAGAGTTTATTGTTATTTAGATTCGTCTCTGACACTGCAGCATTAACATTATACCTTTTTTGTTGTTAAATATACATTCTGTTAAAGGCGTTTTGTAATGATTTGAATTTCGAGATCACTGTACTCAATACACTTAAAAACTAACTTTCTCTTATATCTTTGATATTGTATTACGCTAGATTTCAAATCCTTTTATAAATTTTGAACTGTAACCCATTTCTCGATAGATTTAGACTTATGTACACGTTTTTGTTAAAATTGTGTTCCAACTTTATGTTCGCTCATTTGCTTGTTACGTAGCTTTATGTTTAAAAAAACTAATAAGATAGAATTAAAGATATATGAGTAGAGCATTTAAAAGCATTTTCTTTTTCTTTCTCTTAATTTTTTCTGCATGTGGTGAGCACCTTAGTTTGATATCTTTTTAGTGGCATGTTGCTATTGGAAACATATGTATAACTTTTCGTTTAAATATTATTTTTCGTGTCTTGAATATTATTAGTAATTTTATCTCAACTCTTTAAGTTATATTTCATTTATTTTGTTCTAATTTTATTCTTAATTTATTATCCTAAATTTTAATGGTACCTATCAGTTCAATGTCAACCTCGCGTAGTTTGACCATTGAACCTATTGGGTCACTGCGTTATACTGTGTTTTGCGATACCACATTTAGTAAACGATCACAGTAACCTAATTTTTATAAATTTTTTTCCGATTCTATTTTAAAACTTAATTTTATATGTTTGTTTTTACTTTGAAATTGAATGCAATATGATTTTTTATCATATTATCCATAGGCTTTGGTTCGATGCATGTGTCTTTATTCCATTCCCAAATTACAATTGTAATTTTAATCTCTTATTTCTCCAACACCATTAAACTACTAATTCACTATATTCAAATTTTTTTTAGATTAATTTATTAATTCTAATATCATTTATTAATTTTAAATTAGTAACAATTAATATTTTTCTTTTAAAATGCAACTATGATCAACCACCCAGCCATCAGGGTTTTATCTTTCAACTGCCAGGATAGGAAGGCCACGTAATTTTGACGTAATTTAAGGCCACGTAATTTTGACGTAGCTTCAGCACCACAACCACCGAGAGGAATTATTTCTATTACAGATTTGACGATCACCCACCTTGATGCGTATACACGCCGGTTGCTTCAGCAGCCGCCAGGATCGAACTCACTACTCCCAGCTCTCCAACCAGCTGTGCGAGCGACGCCTTAACCGATTGCGCCAACGCCTTAACTATGGGAGTTATAAATTAATATTGAAGCGAGGAGGAAAAAAAGGAAATGGTATCGAAATCTTATTAATAACTACGGAAAATGGTAGAACTGAAAAATATAAAAGCCTATTAGATTGCTGGGGGGAAAAAGCAGAATGATTCGGGTATTTTCAACACTGTTTTTTTTAATTTTATTATTATTATTATTTTCTACAATTAAATACTAATTTGTGACCTCTAATGTGTTACTTTTTCTATTTTATTTTTGATAAAGTCTCTCAATGTACATACGATTAAAAAAAGTTACTATGAATGAAGTTGTTATTGAAATATACCATTTTAACATAATATTTTTACATTGACATAAAAATATTAGTATTTTTTTTTTATTCGAAGGGAAAGTTACAACCAAGTGAGCTGAAAAGAAATACCAAAAAAGAGATAGCAAATATAAAACAATTTCCGAAGTGAACGACGATTTAAATTGTAGTTCTAATTACCAATAAAAGTTTTGAATTCTAAGCATTACGATCGATAAGTGATAGATAGTTGTTCAATAAAAATTTAATAAAAACTGCATGATACAAAAGTTAATAACAATAAAATTAAGCAGTTAGAAAAATAAATGTTATAACTTAAAGCTTAAAAATAGCAAAAAAAATAATATAAAAGTCTTCAACTATTGGCATGAATGAAATTTTAAGACATTTTTTTATGTATTTTGTTGCATTTTTAAACATTACCTCATGTGTATTTTTAAAAACCTTAACATTTGTTACTAAGTAAATAAAACTTTTTATAAAAATAACATTTTTATGTGATCTAATCACATTTAAAAGATCTTACAATATGATCTATGATATTATAAAATTTTTGTGTGATCTGTCTTTTATATAAATTTTTAAGGAAGTTAAATATGCTTTTAAAAGGTTTAAATCTGTATAAATGTAACAAAAATAATAATAGTCATGAAAATCTTTTAAATTTCATATTTAATTAAATTTTAAAAATTTTAGTTCTTTTCAACAAAAAAAAAGTTTAGTGTTTTAACCAAAAATGGCGGCAACTATTCACCAAAAATTTTTTTAAAGTGTATCAAATAAAAAATTTATATTTAGTTCAATATTAAAAAAAAGTTTACCTACCATGTTGATAGATCGCCACTCCAGATATTAACATCAAACAGAGCCACATCACCTTCTTTACTAGCTACAATTTTCTGGATGTCATCAATGCCGTCAAAAAGGTTCCACAAAAAATGATACTGTACAATAAAATACAAATTCTATGACGTTAACACCCTTAAGAACAACAAAAGTCAGAGTTAAATTACGATCACTATATTTTCTTCACCTTCTCACCAGCGTATCATATCCGCATCTCGTTTAAGCGGTAATAGGCGCTGGAAATGCCCGAGAAAAAGTTTATGGGGCGCTGAGTTGCCTGTTATTCTTCCATTGGTCAAGGAATTGAGAGCTGGCGCAAGCGCTTTCGTACTATTCAGTTTGTGATTAAGAACTGGAGAAAAGAATTCAATTTTGGCGATTCTAAGCCGTGACTTTTATTTTTGAAGAGGGTTTGCTGTTATTAATCAAATTTATAAGCTTGTTGTCACGCAAAGTTGGTCATACAACAATGTTCAGGTTGAAGGAAACTGAGTTAATCTGATTTTGCAGTGTTGCTTTATCACCTTGCTCATTTTCATTAGGGTGGGGAAGTGAAGATGAATGTGCTTCTTTTTTTTTAAGAGAAAAGAAATAAATTATTCAAAGTATTGTTTGAAAATTGGTATAATAGAAGTTTCCATTCTGTGCTTAGATTATTTATAATATTTATCACTTTTATCCGATATTCAAAATATTTAGTTTGAGGAAACTTCTTAAAATAATTTGCCGGAAGAATATATTTTCAATCGTAGTTGGGGAAGAAACTTTTTTTCTAGTGATGTTTCAAAAAAGTTTTCCCTTAATATTAAAGTATAGAAAAATTCCGTTTATACCTCTTTCTGACGAAATTCCGTAAAATTAACTCTCAAATTTCTCGAAGTAAATCTTATTTCTGTTGCATACCACAGGAATATAACTTTAAAAAAAAAATATTCACTTCACTTTTATCCTTGTTCTTGTAACCGAAAACAACTTTTTGATGCACCATATTTTAATTAAAATAATGTTTAAAGATTTGAACCAATGTGAGAACAGGAGAACACATTTTTACGAGCAAGCGATAAGTTACTGATTTCGTAATCGTTTTCTAATTTTCCATCCTAAACCATCGTTTTTAAATATAAAAAACAGATCTAGCTACGTCTCGAGTAACAAATTATTTTACGTTAATAATTTATCAATTATAGAAACTTAGAATCAAATTCTTTTTAAAACATTATTTTGAGTTTTTATTTATTTTATTTTTATTTTATTTTTCACTGGTCTGTGATTTGAAGTATACTAGAAAGATTCACCCATTTGTTCAAAAGACTTTAAAAATTTTTAAAATGCAGAAATTATTTTTAAAACATAAAAAACTTGAAACTTAGAAGATTTTTGTGTTTTGGATCTCCTCCTAACATAAGGAGACAATAATCTTAGTTGTTCCTTCAAACGCTGAAACCATCAGTTTGTGAAATATAATTGAGAGTTTACAAAAGTATTTAACTCTAAAAAAAGCTTAGGTTGAAAAATTGGAATTACCACTCCATGTAAATTTTACGGTTTTTAAAATATCTGAATTTTTCTTAATTTATTTTACCAGGATTTATTGCATAACGGTATATAATTAATAATTTTAATGTCGCTAATCTAATATGTCTCTCCATACATATTTGATTGCTTTAAAAATCTCAGAATATTTTATGAATTATTTGACGAGGATTTATTTCATAACAATAATTAATAATGTTAAGATGGTTAATCAAATGTGCCGCTGCAAACATATTTGATTGGTTTTAAAATCTTAGAATATTTTATAAATTATTTGACGAGGATTTATTACATAGCAGTATATTATTAATAATCTTAATAAACTTTCTCAAAATTAAAGCTATACAGTTGATCTTTAGCTTTGAGCAAATAATTGTTATTTAGCAGAGTTACTTAGAAACTAAGACTAAAATTTTAATCTTTAATTAAGGATAATCATAATCTCCTTCTTTAATATTTCTTTAAAAAAAAGATATTAATTAGTTTATCATTAATTATGAATAAGAAATTCATTCATATGACTTTATTTCTAACGGTTGATAATTAATTTCAATATAAAAAAGGAGAAAAAGTTTACAAAAATTACTTTTCATTATAATGTTTTCATCTGTGACAGTCGATAAAATGTATCATTTTATAAATACGTATAAATTATACGGATAAAAAATTATACACTATTAATATAGTGTAGGAGATATTATAAATTATTAATATATTATTGATGTTCTTAATTTTAATTGATAATGTATTTAGGAACAATGATTTAGACACTAAGTTGTTATTGTGAAGAACTGGGGTTCGATCCTCGACTACGACTTGAAAAACCTTCTGCTTCAAATCGATTGGTACAAGCTTGTCTGGTAAGTAAAGACGGTTGAAGCTCAATGCTGACCACATTACCACCATCATGCCGTTAGTCACGAAATTGTAGAGTTTTATTCTCTATGACCCACAATCAGCTGTAACGGAATTGATTTACTTATTAATATATTTAGCAATTATGAATTATCTTTTGCCATGATTTTATAAATTCTATGTGCAATGATTTTATAGTAGTTATTTATTTTTTAATATCAGGCAAATGAATAACTAATAAATGAATAAATTATCAATTCGTTGAATTGTTTCTGTAAGGAAACATGCTTTATTTTAAGTTTCATTGAAATTGAAAATGACGGAATTTTATAAATTAAATGACCAGATTTAATGAATAATGCAAATTAAGGTAGAAGAAAAGTGTTAAGTTCAAATAAGCTAACGGAATTTTAACTTATTACTGGTCATTATTAGGTTGTTTTTACGTTAATTTCATGAATTCATTTACCCATGAAAAATCGGTTATTCTATTGTGGCCAATATTTGCAGATATCGATTTTTTCTTCTTTGCTATAAAAAACAATATTTGAGAGCATGTGTTTTATCTAAATGGCTATCTTTTCTATAGAAAATACTTTGCTAGATGCACCTGGGCTGATTCTTTTGTAGCTCAAACTGGCTTTATTTTAATAAAATTTTGCATTTTGCACATTTATATCATTCTTAACAAAGTTTAAGAAACATAAACAAACTTTCCTCTTGAAGTATAAGATTTAAAAAGAACTTTTTTCATGGTTTTTGAAAGAACTCTCAAAATTTCTTTATTTTCCTTCGATTTTCTTTTTCTTCTATTTTCTTTTTCCTTTTATAAATTTTGTTGAATATGATAACTTGTCCACAGGGAAGGAAAAAATTAATAATACTTTTTGTAGTTCAACATAAAACAAACGTCTTTCAATCAATCGTAAGTGTAAAAATAAAATAATGCACTTCTCTCATAATCATTATTTATTTAATTCTTTCTTACACAAGTAACTATTAAAATTTTTAGTAGTTTGTTATTACTTTTGAATAGAAATGAGAAAATATGCCATTCAAACTTCTCATTAGAAAAAAAACATTTAGTTCTCGACACTTTGTTAACTTTCGCTTATTTTGCAAGTTTCTAAAAAAAATATAAATGATTATTTAACTTTCTTTTATTAATTTTACTCTAAAGATAAAAAAAAGGAATGAGTATGACGTACGAAACATACAGTTTGCAATGAAAAAACTCCTGATTACCTAAAAGTATTGTTAAACAGGTTTCTATTATGTAATCTCAGCGGGAATTATGTACTTCATAATTTGGAAAAAGGAGCAATATATTAAAAATGCTTAAAAGTTGTGCTGAGAAATATTTTTTTTCCTGAAATTATTGAGAAAAATATTTACTTCGATATGTGTTTCGCATAATTTAACTAAACTCTACCTGGAAACAATATTTTTTTATACCATGAATTAAATGTTTTCAAGTTAAAGGTTTTAATCTTTAGTTTTCAAAGTCTTAAGATTTAAAGGTTTTCTAGCTGAATTCATTTGCAATATTCACGTAAAATATAAAATAATATTAATGTTTTGATTTTTAAATAATTTAAAGAAAAGAAAATCAACCATATTTTTAGTTAAAGTGAACAAGGCTCTACAAAATAATATTACCGATCATTTTCAATTCATAATAACGAATATATATATTATTTTTACTTTTTCATTTTAATGTGAGAAAAATTATTAGCAAACTCTGTCTCATAAAATATATTTCCCATTTAGATGTATGCATATTTTTCTTAATTTTATTATAGTTCAGTGGAAGTAAGTTTATTCATGTTAGCTTATTTCTAATTTAGATAAAAAATAAAACAATTCAATGTTAATACATTATTAACCAAAGATTACTGCATTAGCAGAAAATAATGCAGCATAAAAAAAATTATATTTTTAGTTGATACGTTGAAATAAAAAAATTCGTCCTGTTTAGTATTAAACTGTATAGAATACTGTTTTTGGCGAAAGGATAATTGCAAAAACTTACATGGAACTCATTCGATTAATTGTATACATTTTGTATAAGTATTAGTCATTTTGTATCAGCCTAGTCTTTATTGTAATAGTTGTTAACTTCAATACAATTTTTAAAGAGAAAGTCAATAATGAAAGTGAAATCAATAGGAAACAAACAATGAAAAAAATAAAATCAATAAACTGCTGCCACTTAACAAATTAAGCAAAAAAAATTGGTATTCTGTCATTTAAAATAAATTTCATTAACTTAAGCTCAGTTGCGAATTGTTCCTGAACATCTGAAACAAATGAACATATGTTGTCCAAATATCCCCCCCCCACGATATTGCATTCTAGATAAGTAGCGTTAATATTGCTTCTAATATCTCCGTTTTGCTGTAATCAACTTTTATTCTCATATTTCCTGATATATTAATTGAAATTAATTTCAATTTCTAGAACATGCTATGTTGCCTACGGTGCCTTATAGTCCAAGATGCTACTTGAGCTTGCTTTGAGAATACATCAATTTAAGTATTCTCTTATATGACTTAATCACAACGATTTCTCCCGGCTACGATGGCAACACAAAATATTCCGCAAGCGATCGGTATAAATTCTACTCGAAAATTAATCGAATCGTGAATGCTTTGAAGTGAAATGGTAACGTTAGTCTTTGACTCTGGAAGACTGCATTTCGCTGATCTGTTCTTAATTTTGCTGATCTTCTTCTCCGTTTAGCGAGCATTGATCTGAGGACAAGTTACTAGATTTAATTCCATTTTTTGGTTTAGGTTTCTTTTTTTTTTTTAAAAAATAGCTTTTTGTTCCAAGACGTTTTTTGCGAGTCAATAAGAATGGTCGCCCCGGGGATTATGTTTCTCTTTTTTTGAACTTCGTTTTTCAGAAAATTGTTTTTATATAAAATGCCTTAAGCTCAACT